AATACAAATATAAAATATTGTAATATTACGACTTTAATTTCGTAAATTTGGATTTCTTTGTTTTTTCTTCAATGTGGCTAATACTAACCCCGTAATACAGTAACGGTCCAAATGAAGTATTTTATTCAGCATGTCGGTCCCTACCTTTTAGAAGTTTTGTTCCACTTGGCAAAGATATTCAGTTTGATCCGACGAGATGACATTTGGCTATGTCAAAGATGTTCTGCATCCATCTTCTGCAGGGAAGATTTTACCAATCTGGTCTGCAAAACTTACACCAATAAACAAAAGTTTTATCATGACAGTGATTAAATGAATGTCATAACGAAATAAAACACATACTGTTCCTCTTCCACAAACTACGGCATTTTTTCCACAAAAAAACCAAACTTCAATAACAAGAAAAAACTCTGAGCTACAGCTCTGAACATCCAACCAGGTCCACTGTGTGTGTAGCTGTTAGTCCTGTCTGTGCAGTGACACATTCTAATTTGCCTTTGATATGGAATGATACAATGATACGTCATAATGAGGTCACAGAATTCTGACAGACAGACAGACAGACAGACAGGCAGACAGACGCACGCACGCACACACACACACACACACACACACACACACACAGCAGCAGCAGAAGCAATATTAGATAATATCAGATAATAATAATATTAAATATCGTGATGTTTCCTGCCATATACAACATTTTTCATAATATCAAAAAAATATTTATATATTTTTTTTTGTTGTTGTTTTTTTTGCAGTTATGCACAGTCTGTCCTACATTGGTGCTTGGCATTGCTTATACCTGATACTGTATAACCTATATAACCTATATATGACATCATATATCATGATATTTGGGCTGGAATGTATTGAGATATTAAATTTTGTATATTACCCAAGCCTAACACAATTTTGGCAAATTACACCTGTGCTTTACCTTCTGTGATATGTCAAACTGTCACCATGAAAAATCATTCTTCCAGAGCTCTGATATTGTGAATGTTGTCTGTAATGGCTCACTGAAAGATTTAGGTATACCAGAACCATTATTAATGTTTCTGACTGTAACAAGTCAAGATGTCTGCTGTTTACAGTTTATTTCTCCTTTCTAGTATGATGTTTAGATATGCTGCTAAAACTTCTATAACGTCCAGGCACTGTTCCCACATTATCCTCATATATTCTGCAGCTCCACACCCTGAATGAGGAAAAAAAATGAATCTGAAATTGCGAGAATAAAGCCATACCAGATCCTTATAAAAGCTCTGATCCTCAACCCCTGGGACTGGCTCCAGGCCCCCAGCCCTGGCTGCTTGGGTATTATGGAACCTCACACCATATCGCTGAACTGGGGTCTGCATCTAAACTCCTGGCACTGTCTGTAGGTGTTGCTTTAGCCTGGGATTACCTCACACCTGCTCCCTGACTCAGTTTCTGGTTCTCAAGCTTTGCCACTGGCTCTGGGCTGCCAGTCCCAGATGTTTGTGACAGGGACGGCCCCACACCTGCTCCCTCAACTGAGCTCTGCATCTCAAGCCCTTGCTACTGCCACCTAGCTCTGACTGCTATGGCCTGGTAGGGCCTGAGAAACAGCACCTGGGCCGAGGAGCATGACTCAAGCCATTTTAAGCCAGAGAAGAAACGGTTGGGTGCCTGGAGCCAGTGACAGGTTGAGAAGAAATAATTTTCTTGAGACTCTGTTTGTCAGCCCCTGACACTGGTTCTTGGAGGGCCTAATACCAAACCGTGGTTTTAAACCCCTGGAACCCCCTGTGGAAGTCCCATGGTATTAAGTTTGCTGCATCATTGGCATGGCTTATTAAAAAAATTACACAGAGAACAGCTGTGTAATGTAATTAGATATTGCTTTACCTGGTATAACAAATTGATTAATATATAATATTATAATATCATATATTACATATATTATAATATAAATTAATTAATTACTTAATTAAATTCAGCCATCTTTAATGTGATTGCATTGATTTCCTGCTATGATATAACAATATGTCTTTCGTGACTAAAAGGACCATCGGGTCTTTGACATGCACATTTTCTCCAGAAATGAATGATTGTCTTTATAATTATAAATTTTCACATATGATCTCACCTGGCTATGAACAGTGGTTTGAAATATGTTGTATGGAATTATCAGCTCAATCTTGACAGTGAATGTGTGAAATTTGCATGCAGAAGATTGTACTTAATTTTATTGCAACATGCCACAGTGTCATTCTTCATATGAACACCAGGTGGCATGGGGACTGCTGGTCTTGCTGCCTTCAGCCTGGGGTTTTTGTTGTGTTCTGATTTTTGTGTCTATTCTTAATTTGGTGTCCTGGTCGTCCTGCATATTCATGTTAAATAAACCCTTTGTTTTTTTAGAGGTGTCTTGTGAGAGTTTGGTCAGTGGTGGAGTGTTGTGCATGTGTAATAATATATATAGATATATATATATGTGTGTGTGTGTGTGTGTGAATGATTCCAAAATGGTCATCTTATGGGGAAAAAATGGCATGAAAAAAATATCCTTCAAGCAGATCAACAACTAAATGGTGTATAAAAAACAAAAATCATTGTGGTGGTCAGTGCTGATATTGTGGTGGGCTTCCGCAGATTCATTGGAAACTCTGGACTGGCAGGCCAAAGGTATGGGAGCTGGGAGTATGTGTGTTTAGGAATGTACTATAGGTTTTAAACCTGCTTTTAAAAGAATAAAATGTTGGGCATGTCACAGATCGAAGGGTAAGCTGTTGCGAGACATGGAAGCATAAAAACAGAAAGCTGCTTTGCCAGCTTTTCTATAATCTCTTGGAATCTGGAAAAGGACTCAGAGACCTGACTATGTTGGCAATATAATTTGGTGCCAGCCCAGTGAGAGCTATCACATGTATTATTTGTGGATAAGTAACAGTGCATTTGTTTGCAGTTTATCTTTTCAAGAATTTTACTGAGAACTAGGAGGCCATTATGGGGTCAGTGTGGTCACTCTTTTACCCCTCTGGTAAAAAGTGCACTATAGCATAGCATAGCATAGCATAGCATAGCATAGCATAGCATAGCATAGCATAGCATAACGAGTGACTGGATCATTTGTAAACTGTTTTTCAGATTTTCAGATGAAATGCTTGAGGTTTGAGGGAGACATTTCTCAGATAGATAGAAAAGCGACGTTTTAACCTTCCTATTCTTATTTTATATACAGTTTTCTAGTCTACATTGTGTTTCTTATTATTTCTTTCCTTGCATGCTTAAATATACAGCACTCAGCTTGGACAATAAAAGAAGGGTGATTCTGAAATATGGATTCCTTGCTGATTTTCTGAAGTGTAAACTTCCTTTAATGACAAAGGTCATACTTTCAATTACAGTCATTTGTGTGTAGTACAGTCATACTGTACTTCACTTGACTGGTGGAAAAGGACCAAAATACCAAAGTCCAATAACATACACGATATGTTATATTGCAGTCTTATGTTAAAATGAAAAAAAATCCATCAGGTTCCTCCATTTTTCTGGATCATCTCTGAGATGTTTGTACACCCTGACTGGAGTCCACCTGTGGTAAACTCAGCTGATTAGACATGATGTGTAAAGACACACACCTGTCTGTCTAAGGACTCACAGCTGACAATGCAGATCAGAGCAGAAACCATGAGGAGGAAGGATCTGCTGCAGAGCTCAGAGACAGGATTGTTTTGTGGATCAGATCTGTGGTGACCAAGAACCTGATGGTCACTCTAAGCTCCAGAGAAACTTCCAGAAGGACAACCATCACTATAAGTATAGAGAAATCCTTAATGAAAACCTGGTCAAGTGCACACAGGACCTCAGACTGGACCTCAGACTGGGCAGACTGCTTCACGCAGCAAAGACACCACAGTGGCTAAGGGATAATCCCATGAATGTCCTTGAGTGGCGTACAGACCCCTGAATTTAACCCAATCCAACATCTCTGAAAGAGACCTGCACGTCTGTCCACTGATGTCCCCATCCAACCTCACTGAGCCTGAGAGGATCTGCAGAGAAGAATGGCAGACAATCCCCAAATCCAGGTCTGTAAATGCTTCAACTTAGTACTGAGTAAGGAATTTGAATACTTATGTCAATGTGATATTTGTGTTTCTCCTTTTAAATAAATTTGCCATATATTTTTATTTTTAGTTTAAGGCTGCAACAAAACAAAATGTGAAAAAAATTAAAGGGGTCTTTATACTGAGTGCACTGTAGAGCGAACTGGTGATCTGGCGTCACTTTGCCCAGTTTGTGATTCATCCTTGGATCCATTGCTGGTTAATAAAGCCATATATACAGTAATTCTGGTTAATAATATTGTCACATGACATGTGCACTTTCATAAAAAAGGAAGCCAGTAAAAAAGGAAGCCAGTGAGCGAGCAAGTGTGTCTGTCAGCATGTTTTCCTGGAGAGGTAAACCACACCAGATACAAACAGACTGTGACAGTGTGCGGCAGGCCACGCCCTCAAAGGGCGTATAGGGAGGTGGGTGTTGTTCAGTTTGACAAAACTTTGTAGAGTTTTGTCAAGTTAGTCATATACCAATAGCGGAAGTCACCGTCTTTGCTTCTATCATGAAATGTGGCATTAAATGACCGATTAGTAAATCTGTTTTGAATTTGAATTAATTCTTATTATTTTTCTCTTTTGTGTATTGTCTTTATACCTAATGCTGAAGTACACAGATCTGTACACTTAAATTTTATAAGGGTCATAAAGGTGTACACAAATGTTTTTTTTCTACTTGTTTTTCAGGGTTTCCAAATATCAGTAGTTGAATTATGCTCTTACCTCCTCTAGATTCACAATTACTTTCTTTCACAACACACATAAGTATGCTACTGAGACTATTCACTGTAGGAATGAATAGCCAAACACAAGCATGTTGGCTACTAAGGCTTTTATTTTGAAAGGTATTACCGGAATACCTTTTGGTACCTGCCGTGAAATAGATGCTGCACTTCGGGAACGATGTGAACTAACACTGTCCTCGACTGCTCAACCTCCGGCCACTGAAACATCCGTCAGCCACACATCTGGTCAGTTGTCCGCTTTGTACATCTAAACTTCAGCTAAACTGTCATTTTATGCTCGTGGCTTTTACTCAGCTATCTAGTTTTACGATTAGCAAGTATTTTAACCAGCCAACGTAGCTATTTCTTTATGTGCACGATGATTTCGACAACTTGTTTTTTGGCCGTTAACTTAAGAGCTGTGGGAGATTTTTGAAGTTTGTAAACAGACAGCAGAAAAATAATGTCAGGGCACTATAACTTACGTGGCTAGCAAATGTTTCCTTCGGGTATTTCATGTGCATGTGTCGGGTTAGGTTGAAGGAACAGATAAAACGACCATTTTACATGTACTGTCAGATGTTATACTAGCTGCTCAGAGCACCTGTAGCTACAGTCACAATATAATGTTGTTTGGTTGTAACAAAGCAGTAAATTACACATTAATTATCACTTTTAAAACTGATGACTCTTACTAGTCCATTTCTAGTCCTTACTTAGACCACGAACCGACCAGAACTGTGACACTGAAATATTTATATTTCGTGGATGAAGCTTGTGACAAAAACTTCTCACTTGTAGAATAACATTGAATTGAAAACGAGTCATTGTACAGGAAGCTGTTGCAGTAAACTAATGTATGTCGCCATCATTTGTTGAATGTGTGCAACTCTCATGTAAACACTGAACGAATGTGACCTGGTGAGTCACAGACTTGAGATATCAAAGAAGAAAGACCAGGAGGAGGAGATCACAGGGAAAAGTGAATCTTGAGGTTGTGGTTGTTGTCACGTTTCACCGTGTATGAAGCGTTCAGAGTCAGTCTGTGTACTTGTGCTACAGTACATACCCTGCATGTGTAACTACTCAGCTATGTCAACTGAGTTTCCTGGGAAAATGGTACTAAACAGATTACTCCACTTGTTTGTACGAAGGAAGACAAAATCTACAGTGGCCGTCAGAGTACTGCATCTTAAGAAAACATGCAAATAGACAAAACACAAACAAATTCAGAAAACATCTTCATCAATTTGACACCACATGTGCTGCAAATACTCAAAACTAAGCCAAACATACAAACGTGTGATTAACCTGGCGGGGACGCACTTGTTGTTTTACTTTTAACTTCAAAAGTCACAATTGGGCATTGATCAACAATTGCATCCCAGCCAGGTTCATCACTTTTTTTAAGTTAGAGAGAGAGGGGGGGGGGGAAAGAGGATGATATGCAGCAAAGGGCTTAAGTTGCAGTGTATTGAGCTCTCAGGGCAACCATAAAATTCCTAAAAAAAATAAAACACTCAAAACAGCAGTCCTGTTATTCTTACAGTCTGACTGAAGCTGAGAAATTCTCTGATTAAAGTCACAGATGTGAAACAGCTGAGAAATGACCTTTATAGCAGCTTACAACTGGGACTGCAGCTCTGTGTTGGAGCGCTTACTTCAACATAATAATTTCATTATAGTCAATTCACTAACATGACTGCCTCTTTCTATAAGCATTTACTTATTACATGAGCTTCACCCCAACCGACAATAAACATTTTGACAGATTAACACTGTCAGTTAAACAATAAAGAAATATACATATATGAGAGACAATCCACCCTCATTGGATACTAATCCTCCTGACTGGTGGAAAGCTAATCAGGAGGAGGAGGTTTCAATTCAATGTGTGTTTTCGCTTTGTTAAACTGTTTATACATTAGAAAGTCTGGCTATTTATTTTAAGTTATAAAATATTTTTCTACACAGGAGATCCAGGCTATTATGCCGGTTCTGCATGTGTAAAAATAAATCCCTTCTTATGAAAAAACAAAACAAAAACATTTGTTGTATTGGTATTCCATTGTAAATAGCACATTTTAATCTAATGGTTCAACGGTTAATGGTCAGTTAGCGAGCGTTGGCTATTGGTCAGAAAAAAAATTCAAAATGAGCATCCCTACTTTGAAACTTTCCATGTGCAGGAAAATCTTCAAACTTCGTTTTAGGAACCAGCTCCAGTGCTGGTCCTGTGTCAGTAAAGTCCTTCACAGTACATGTTGAAGTGTTAGCATGTAGCTTATTGTCACTCAGGATGATAGTGTAAAAATGGAGCATGTGGGCAAAGCATGGTGTGGACACATGTTGTGCTTGGCGTCTCACTTTTTATCTCTTTGAATCTGACCAATAAAACGGCTGACCTAAAACACTCTTCCCTTCCCTCAGCTTTGAAGATGAGTTCTAGAGTGTCAGGTGATCTGGAGAGAGATGAGGCAGAAGAGGAGGAGGAAGAAGAGGAGAGCATGAACCCGACAGAGGTGAAAATGAGTCAGATAGTTATGCCCTGTCACAGCAACCACCGACAGGAGCTGAGCGTGGGACACCTGCTCAAATGGATAGACTCCACCGCCTGCCTCTCTGGTGAGGTGTTTGTGTGTGTGTGTGTGTGTGAGAGAGAGAGAGAGAGTCAGTGAACATTACTGGTGCAGTGTGTCTTGAAATGCTCATTTCATTTGTGAGTGTCCAGTGTATGTTGTAACCACAGAGCAGGCAGACAGGACATGACACATCTCTGTTTCAGCTGAGAGACATGCTGGAAGCCCCTGTGTCACTGCGTCCATGGATGACATCCACTTTGAACACACCATCAGGTACCAGGAAGTGTGTGTACAGAAAGGGCTTGTGTGTGAGTGTGTGTTTACAGTATATACTCATTCTTCCTTTGTGTCTTTGTCCAGTGTGGGTCAGGTGGTGAACATCAAGGCAAGGGTCAACAGAGCCTTTAACACCAGTATGGAGGTCAGAGACGTTCACACTATGTTCTTACAGTGTATGAGTAACAATGTTAAACACACACACTCATTCTCTGTTACTTTACGTGTGTACCACTTTACCCTTGTGTAATAATCACAGAAAACACAAAATCATTTTGCAGAGCCAGTTCACACAAATAATAATCAAAATGTATTTTCTCAGTTAGCAGAGTAAGCAGCCACGCCCCCAGCTATTACAGGAGACTTGGTTATTTTTTTTAATACCAGCTTTTACAGGAGAATCTTTTGCATCTGTAATAGTATCACTTCTGATATTGTTTTTAGTGGCTTTAGCTGAATGTAGTTTTAGTTTTATGTGTCCAGGTTTTTGAGGTTTCTGCTTCTACCACAACACAATGAAGGTAGATGGAATTTTGTTGGTGGTACTTGCAGCAATGACAAACCTCAGCATCAGTGTGTCTGTCCAGAATCAGTGTCCCGGTCACATTGAATAATCCACAGACTGCACAGTGAGCAGCCTTCACCGGAACTACTTTCTACACAAAGAAACAGTTCCTATGAAATAAGGATAAGGATGTTTTTATTGTCAGTGCAGAACATACTGTAATAAAATCAAGTAGAAAAAAGTTAAGTATCTGTAGAAATGTGTTCACGCTGAGGTCCAAAGACACACTTATACACTTATATTTCAATCAAGAATCATTGCTGTCATACTCCGTTGCAGGTGGGCATACAGGTGAGCTGTGAGGACTTGTTCTCCGATCGTCACTGGAGAGTTTGTCACGCCTACGCCACCTTTGTAACCCAGCGCAGAAACACTGGACAGAAGGTGATGGGGCGATGTCTGGATCATCAGAAAAGATTTCAAAGAGCTTTTGACACTTTGGAGAATGTGTGAAACCAGTCTGTGTGTGTGTGTGTGTGTGTGTGTGTGTGTGTGTGTGTGTGTGTGGGGGTGTGTATTGTTACCTCACAGGTGATCTTGAAACCCATCGTACCTCACACTCAGAGGGAGCAGGTTGAATACAGCGTGGCAGCTGAGAGACGGAGGGTCAGGATGGTACACGATGACATCATCAAAGATCTGCTCTCCCACGGGTCCATCCAGCAGGGTAGGTTAGATACTGACCTCTTTAAATGTAGCTGCTCTCCCTGATAAATGCAGGGTTCAGCCTGTTCCTAGATGTTAGTGAGAAAGTCTGAAGTGTGAAGACAGGGTTTTAGGGCAGCAGACAGGGTAGAGAAGTCAGAAACACATTGTTGGTTTGGGTCTTTCCATGGGATCATTGAAAATATATAGAATAACAGTCAAATCCATAGAAATCTTGTATTACATTTTGTGTGTGTGTGTGTGTTTGTGTATGTCAGCTGACAACTCAGCAGTAGGAGATGCAGTGGCAGCAGAGAGGACCAAGGTGGAGAGTGTTGAGCTGGTTCTACCCCCACATGCTAATCATCAGGTGATTTATTTATGTATCTGTCTGTTTATCTCAGGAAGTTAATCAGCTGTTACCTGGTGATGTTTTTATGTCCCAGCGCCAACAGTCAGAGCCAGAGGATTCTTTTTTTTTCGAGTTGTCTGTCCGTCCCATTTTCATGGACATGATGTCAACTTCTTCAGATTTGGCACAAATATTCATAAGGACTCAGGGATGAACTGATTAGATTTTGGTGGTCAAAGGTCAAAGGTCAATGTCACTCTGATTTTTTAACTATTATTCAAGACTTCACACAGTTATTATGACAAATTTCACACAAAAATCTGAAACTGGTCTAAGTGGAGGAGGCAGACAACCACAAGGAGGTAATTCTTGTTTCTTGTGTAACAAGAATAGATGGATTTGGAATGAAAGAGGTAGTTCACCAAATACCAACAAAATGTATTTTCTCAGTTAGCAGAGTCATGTCAGCCATTCCTTCCCCCTTGCATTTCTCCTTGAATGTTGTTAAGCTAAAAGTAGAATTTAATTAATTAATTTTTTAAAAATGATAAAAATAGAAATATGTAAATATATGTTTTATAATATAATTATAATAATGCAGAAGTGCATTTTCACTGAGGTCTGTGGATTTTCTAGAAAGATTTGTTATGATTGATTATTTAAAATGTTAAATCCTGTGAACACCATGGATTAAAGTCAGTTCACCTCCAGTGTGTTTGGGTGGATGCAGAAATCTCAGACACAACTGCTGAACAAATCTAAATAAAATGGTGTTTGTTCACTAAAGGTCCTACAATGTAGAAAGTGAGGGTTCCACGTCTTTTTATGCCACCATCCCAGCAGCAGCCGTACATAGAGGCAAGGCGGTAATTCTAGTTATACTTAGAATTTCTCTGTAATATTGGGATTTTTTTAGTCAAATAAATTTTTGGTCTGTTGCTGTCATTCAACATAGTGTGAATCTAACATCAGATATCCAGTGAAATCAAAGGCTTTTACTGTTCATGCTCTCTGTGCCTCATCAGTGTTGTGTTGTTATAGTGCTGACTCGTGTTGTGTTTCTCTAATCTCCAGGTGAACACATTTGGAGGACAGATCATGGCCTGGATGGTGAATGTAGCTACCATCGCTGCCAGGTACAATCACACACATTTTAAGTGCCTCATTTCTTTACACCAGGGTTACAGAGTAGACATCGAAAACACAAACGCACACTCAATCATACGAGGTGAAATGGTTCATCGATTAGCTGATTGACAGAAAAATGATAAGGAACAACTTTGATTATCGATTCATCATTTCAGTCCCTTTTCAAGCAAAAATAGAGAAAAAACAAAGATTCTCTGGTTTCAGCTTCTCTTATGAGGATGTGCTGCTTTCTTTTGAAGATCACATTTTTTTTCCATTCTGAAGAAAAGTTTAAACCACCAGAGGCTCTGTTGACTTGAAGGAAACATCAAATACTTGTTCTTCAAGTTTTGGGGATTAAATCTCCAGCCTAAAACATTAGTACTGGAATCATTCCACAAAGGTCTAATTATTTTACACAAATACATTAACTCTTGCACGTACATGACAATGTCTCCACATTTCCTCCTTTCTTGTTTTTCTGTCTTTTCTCTACAGTCGTCTGTGTCAGGCTCATCCCACTCTTCGGGCCATCGACATGTTCACTTTCAGAGGACCTTCTCAGATCGGTGACAGACTGCTGCTGAGGGCCATCGTCAATAACGCCTTCAAAAACAGGTATCAGTGTGTCCAGGACCAGTCGTAAAGATACAGCTGATAAAACCAGACTGAGCTCTGTGGCAGTGATAACAGCTTAGTGTTATGAGGGTACAGCAAAGAAAAAGTGGTGCTGTATATAAGAATGAATTAAACAAATGAGTGACTCATGTGTCCTGCAGCTTAGAGGTGGGGGTGCGAGCAGAGGCCTATCAGGAGGAGGGGCCTAACCGACACATAAACTCTGCCTTCATGACCTTTGAGGTGCTGGATGACCATGGGAAGCCATGTATGTTACCACGGATACGACCTGAACCCCTGGTGAGTGAACCAAACAGAATGAACTACTGATAAAGAACGCTTGTTGCACTGAAGATGGTTTTATGCATGTACTGATGTAATCTAAGGCGTTATCTAGTTGAGGTGGAAATTGTTGCAGCATGTTTTTGCAGTGGCATGAAAATTTGCCAACTTAAACTGAAACCAAGTCAGTGATAATACATGAAAATACACAATACAGGAATAAATGATAATGTGTCCAGACATGAAAAAATAAGAAACAATGCAGAGGAGAAGAATGATGTCTTCCATCACGTCTTCTTTTATCCTTTACTTGTTTACTTGTTCATACTGTAGCCAGTCCACGGTTTTGAGTTAAAGTCTCATAAATTTACCAAATGCAAATCAGATTAGTAATAAGATCAATTTGTGGACCGACGTTATATTGTTTGCAACCAGGCCTGGAATTTAAAATAAAATAAACGAGCAGATTCCACTGATTTATCATCTCTGTGTGAGATCTGCTGTGAGTTTAAGACAGAATGTTGTTGGAGAAGGAGAGCAGCGCTTTTCAGGAAGAGAGAGAGCGAGAGATAGAGAGAGGTGATGCTGGCTTCCGGAGCAGAGAGCAGGGACTGCTGCAGTGATGCTTTTAAAGGAACCTCGACATTTCGACAGTAGCATGGGCACAAAGGCTGCGGTGGCCGTAGGGCGCACAATATTTTTCAGGGCATCACAGCCATGGCTGTCATGGCCACTGTGACAGTCCTACCCTGTTTGCAGCCAGTAATAGCTTTTTTGTTAAATGGACATTTTTCTAGTCTTGTCGACCACATTTACCCATTCACACACACATTCATACAGCGCTCTTCTATCACACACATTCACACATCCTGTTCCACACATCCAGTTTGAGCCACCGAAAATTGAACCACCAACCTTTCGATTGGTGGACGACCTGCTCTACCTCCTGAGCCACAGCTGCTCCATATTGTGGCTCGGTACTGTGAAATAAAGAATGAGTAAATGTTTCTTTCTCTGTCCAGAATGCAGTGTTATTTTGTTGGCTACTAAAGGACACAGAAACAGGCTGTAAACACAACACTGGTATATTATTAACTTATAAAGCCTCCATGACCTACATGTCACCAAACAGACTGGACCAGAACAGTAAAATCTCAGGCCATAAAACCAAAAACAATGAGCTGAAATAATAATAACTGCATTCACATTTAGGTTGACCCGATGTAGCCTCTGACACAGGTTTTACAGTGCTGGGACTGAAGAGGTGTGAAAGCTTAGCTGAACAAAGATCAGAGCTATAAACCTGACTCAACAATGGGGAAGTATGTTGGAAGAAAATGACACACTGAATTCTCTGAAGGACCGACCTTGTGTGTATTGACACAGCTCTTATTACAGTGACCTACTCCTACGTGTTTGAGTCATTCTGAGAAGAGTCACAGGGTGAAGGGTGCTGTACTAGGCCCTGTTCCCCACATTACCACTGTTATTATTATATTAGTATTACTATCAGAATTTTAGTCAAAAGTTTCCATTAACTTCTCAGGGTTTGAGTATTCACTACACTGGTTGTGAGATGTTGTTTATCTGAAGGGTCTGCCCTTTCTTTATGTTTTCAGTCGGTCTGTCTGCGTTGTTGGGGAAACAGTGGAACCAGGTTTGCTTCGTTAGCTCCTCTCAGTAGTAATTGATGAAGCTTTTTTTTTAAGTTGTAGGGAGATAAAGGTGAAACTGTTCTGTATTAAATGACATTTGTATGACTTTTGTGCACTTATGAGTTATTTGTGTGCTTATAGTGGATTGTCACAGACAGTCACAGAAAAATCAATTGCATACAATTGTGTGCCTTGAAAGCCTAGTATTTGTGTAGCTCACCTTCATATTTACCTGAGCAGGTGGTATGTTCCAGTTAGGTGAGGAGGAGAAGGTAAAATTGAAGCAGGTAGTCATTTTGTAACAGCTGGACAATCGATGTAATACTATCCCACTCAGGACAGAACATCAGTCTTGACTCCAGGAAATGACAAATGGTCAAAGAGAACAGACCTTGGCAACCAGCTGTGGTTCCACCTGACATCACCACCACACCAAGACCTGACATCGCCCTGTGGTCGGCAACCAAGAAGCGAGTCTCGACAGTCGAGCGGACACTTCCATGGGAAGAGGGCGTCCAGGAAGCACATGAAATAAGAAAGTTGGTGTTTGCAGAAACTAGTGGATCCATGTTAGTGAAATTCAAAAACTTCCCAACAGATCTTTGCAACGAAGCAGAGCAAGGAAGTTTTTGGCTCTAGCTGCGAAGAGGAGGTTGTGCAACCAAGGAACCATAGTGTAGAATCACCCGACTATCTAAACCCAGCTGTAGGGAAAAGGAGGGAGACGTCCCAGACCACTGCCCCGCCATCCTGACACATTCTGGGATTAAAGGGGTGAAACATCAGTAAAGGATGGCGTCCAGCGGAAGATCCTGCAGCTGGTACTCAGGTTTCAACATCAGCCTGTCACCAAACTAAACAAGGAGTGGAGTTTGAAAGATGTGGGTGATTATTGGGCAGGGAAGGTCTAAAGAAGAAGCACTACTAAGGTGAATCATTCTTCTTTAAGTCTGTCTCCTGTGAGTCCCCAAACTAAATTATTGGAGTGTGTTTCACGTCTTTCATTTACAGGAAGGGGAGAGGAGGTTTCAAGAGGCCATAGCCAGGAAGAAGATCAGGTTAGACAGGTAAACATCTGTCAACCCCTGTAATGAGCTAAAGCTTTCACATCCACATCAGTGTGCCAGAGCTAACACGTAACACTTTATTTTCAGTTTATTTGGAATTAAAAATAAGAGGAATTGAACGTTTCAGAAAGATCACAACCCACAAAAATGTCACCATGGCGCCCTGCAGTGTGTACAACTGTGTATCACTCCAGCCTTCATGATGAAGGCATGAAACATCTGAACATTAGTCTACAGTGCTGCTAGTGCTGAAAAACTGTGTAGGACACCTCTGATAGCTGTTAGCAAACAGCATCATTCTTTGAGCCTGTGGTAGTCAGTGTTTCAGCAGGTTTGTTTAACAATAGTCAAAGCAAATACAAGACTGCAGTCATCCAGTTCTGACTGCAGTTAAATTGTTGAGAAATGAAAAGAAAATAAATTAAAATTTTATTTCCACTGTGATCCACAGTTCTGGTTATAATTTGATGGTTCGTGTTGTTTTGAAAATGTTTATTAAGACCAAAGGTTTACTTGGTTTTAATGGAATTGTTTTTGTATTATTCCCCTCACATTATCAAAGATGTTTCTAATTTCTTTTCTTTTGTTCTCTCAGAAAGTATATCATTTCCCGCACGCAGGGCGAGGTCCCTCTGTCCGTACCCTGGGACCCCCGAAACCAGGTGAGGAAAAGGTCCAGGAATAACTCAAGATTAGTGATAAATACAAGTGCTGTGATGACTAACACATTAATTACATTACATTAATTAATTAATGTCCAAATGGTGGTCTGTGGAGGGACAGAGTGCACTGGCTCACTGGAACAGCTGTATTTACTGATGTCACTAGTGATGGGTTTCAAAAACCAGTATGGCATGGGATCCCAGGAGACTGATTACAGACTACTGAACCAAATAGCAACACAGATTTCAGTGTTTCCATTCAGGGCCTCAGCTTCCAGCTGATTGTGTATGAATATGTACAGTTGCTCACTGCTCTCTGGTGCTTGAAGACATTTCATGTAATGGAAGCCTCACCTGACAACAGAGAGCTATGACAAGACAAGACTGTGTTGTGAGGAGACAAGCAGAATGTGAGAGTTAGTGTCTTAATAACGCTACTACACACGTGTCCACCTGGCATTTTTAAAAATTAGAAACCCAAAACACACAGAACAAGATCTCATTTCCAGTCTGTCTGGATTATGTTAAAAAGACAATTAACTGAATGAATAGTTTTATTTTCCATGCCACATTAAAATCAAATCACATCACAGAAAACCAAGTAAAGAGGTGTTTTGCATATCAGTGAAAAACAATTCATTGATTTATTGAAAATGTCATTTAACATGTTTATATTTACTTATAATACAGTAAATTAAAAAAAAAGTCATTTAAAGTCCTCCACACTGCTAAGGTTATACTGTAACCCAAGCAGTGTTTACACACACACACACACACACACACACACACACACACACACACACACACACACACACACAACCTGTGAAACTATGATTTGTTTAAATAAGCCTGACTATCCCCTAGGGAATAAATAAAGTATCTATCTATCTATCTATCTATCTATCTATCTATCTATCTATCTATCTATCTATCTATCTATCTATCTATCTATCTATCTATCTATCTATTAGATTAGATTAGAATGATAGATAGATTTAGATAGAATAGAATAGAATAGATAGAAAAAATAGATAGATTAGATACGATAGATAGATAGATAGATAGATTATTTAATTTATTTCTCTAGGCGGGATAGTCCAGGCTTTTATTTAAACAATCACATATAGTTTTCACAGGTTGTGTGTTGTGGATGGTGTTGTGTGTGTGGGTGGTGTGTGTGTGTGTGTGTCGTGTGTGTGGTGTGGTGTGTGTGGGTGTGTGTTGTGTGGTGGTGTGGTGTGTGTGGTAAACACTGGGGGCTTAAGGTTACAGTTAACCTTAAAGCAGTGTGGAAGATTATAAATTATTTTTTATTTTCAAATTTACTTGTGGTTTCTAGAGTAAAGTACGTAGAATCAATGCATAATTGACATTCTTCTCAATAAATCAATGAAATTGGTTTTTATATATGCAAAAACACCCTTCTTTACTTGGGTTTTTTCTGTTGGATGGTGATTTGGATTTTAAATGTGGCATGGAAAAAATAAAACTTCATTCATTCAGTTTAATTTGGTCTTTTTTAACAGATAATCCAGAACAGACTGGAAATGAAGATTTGTTTCTGTGTGGTTGGGATTTCTCTAAATTGTTATTGTAAAAATGGTCCAGGTGGTAAACACGTGTGTGGGTGTAGCGTTATTAAGACTGAACTCTCACATTCTGCTTGTCTCTCAATCAACACAGTCCTTTTGTGCTTTGTTCAATAGCTTACTCTGTTTTGGTCAGGTGGAGGGCTTCATTGGTAAATGAAAATGTCTTCAAGCACAGAAGAGAGTGAGCAAACTGGTACTATATTTATACACGGATCAGCTTTTGGAAGCTGAGCTGAAGTGGGGAAAGCACTGAAATCTGTGTTGCTATTTGTGTTCAGGTAGTACCTGGAATCAGTGCCCTGCTGGGAATCCAAGTGCTCGTGTCTGATGTATTAAACTTGGTTTTTTTGAAACGTAGTAACTCAGTGACATCAAAAGTAAAGATAGCAGCTTTGTGTCCCAGATGGAAGGCAGGCACGCGTTGTCCGTACATGGACACATTCTGGGGATTAATTAATTAATGTAAATGTAAATTAAATGGGTGTTAGTTGTACTCGAGCATCGAACTTTGTAGTTTATACTAAATCGATTATGAGTTGATTCCTGGATTTATCATCAACCGTGGGTTTCGGGGGTCCCACCAGGGTCAGGACAGAGGGGACGTCGCCTCTGCGGTGGGTGCGGGAGAATGATATGACTTTTGAGAGTAAATAAAAGGAAAAGAAATGAAAGTTTGAAATCTTTGATTAATGTCTGCAGGGGAATAATATAGCAAAAACAATGTGCTATTAAAAACCGAAGTAAAGCCTTTTGGTCGTTAATTAACGATATTATCAAACAAAACGAACCGTGCAAATTTTTATAGAGAAGAACTGTGGATCCAGAACAGTGGAAATAAAATTCTAAATTTTTATGTTTCTTTTCATTTCTCCAACAATTTAACTAGCAGTCAGAATGGACTTGGACTTGGAGGTTTGTATTTTGCTTTGACTATTGTTAAACAAAACATGGTAGAAAGATCAAGCTGGACTATCACAGGGATCAAAGAATGATGCCTGTTTTGCTAACAGCTCTAATTCAATGAGGTGTCCCGTGAACAGAGTTTTTTAAAGGACATAGGCAAGCAACTGTAAATAATGGTTAGTGTTTCATGCCTTCATCATGAAGGCTGGAAGTGGTAATACACAGTTCTACACCCACTGCAAAGTGGGCCATGGTTGAACATTTTTTTTGTTGGGTTGTAGAATCTTTCGTGAAACGTTCAATTCTCTTTTTTTATAGAGATTTTCCGAAAATACAGATCTGAAGATAAGAGGTTGGTGTGGTCGACGTTGTTTAGCAATTCTGGACCGATTGCATCTTTGTGGATGTTGAAACGATTTAGCCTCATTAAAGAGGGGGTTTTCTGTTGACTGAGAATGTGTCTTTACGATTTCGTGTTAGCTGAAATTGCTGTTCTTTTTCCTGGCTTATGGCCATCTTGAACCTCTCTCCCTTCTGTAAATGAAAGGACGTTGGAATTAGCAGTAGCTACTCAAGTGATCTTAGAGTTGGGGGTGACGTCTAAGGAGAAAACTTAAAAGAAGAATGAGAATTCGTACGACTTAGTCAGTTATGCTTTTATTGCTTTAGGACTTCCCTGCCGGTCACGAAACTAATGCAACCGTCAATCTAGTGCGTCCTTCAAAGACTCCAGCGTACCTTGTTGTCTCACGGTTTGTGTGACGGTGACGTAGGCTGAGATTTTGTTGAAACGGCTGAGTACACAGCATGTATGGGAAGTAATATGGTAGGGCGAGACGTCCCTGATCTACTGCTCAGCAATCCACTGACACATTATTGGGATTTAAAGGGGTGAAACATCAGTAAAGGATGGCGTGACGAGAGGATCCTGCAGCTGGTACTCAGGTTTCAAACATCAGCCTGTACCAAACTAAAACAAGGAGTGGAGGTTGTGTTATAATAGATGTGGGTGATTATTGGGCAGGGAAGGTCGCTAAAGGAGAAGCACATTACTAAGGTGAAATCATTCTTCTTTTAAGTCTGTCTCCTGTGAGTCCCCAAACTAAATTATTGGAGTGTGTTTCACGTCTTTCATTTACAGGAAGGGGAGAGGAGGTTAATAGAGAGGCCATAGCCAGGAAGAATGATCAGGTTAAGACGGTAATTCATCTGTTCAACCTGGTAATGAGCTAAAGCTTTCACATCCACACAGTAAGTGTGCCAGAGCTAAACGTAACACTTTTATTATTCAGTTTATTTGGAATTAAAAAATAAGAGGAATTGAACGTTTCAGAAAGATTCACAACCCACAAAAATGTCACCATGGCGCCCTGCAGTGTGTAGAACTGTGTATCACTCCAGCCTTATGATGAAGGCTATGAAAACATCTGAACATTAGTCTACAGTGCTGCTGTGCTGAAAAACTCTGTGACACCTCTGATAGCTGTTAGCAAACAGCATCTTTCTTTGAGCCTGTGGTAGTCAGTGTTTCAGCAGGTTTGTTTAACAATAGTCAAAGCAAATACAAGAGCATCCATCATCTAGATTCTGGAGTGTAAATTGTGTGAGAAATGAAAAGAAAATAAATTAAAATTTTTATTTCCACTGTTGATCCACAGTTCTGGTTATAATTTGATGGTTCGTGTTGTTTGTTGAAAATGTTTATTAAGACCAAAGGTTTAACTTGGTTTTAATGGAATGTTTTTTGTATTATTCCCCTCAAATTATCAAAGATGTTTTCTAATTTCTTTTCTTTTGTTCTCTCAGAAAGTATATCATTTCCCGCAGCGAGGGCGAGGTCCCTCTGGTCCGTACCTGGGACCCCCGAAAAGGTGAGGAAAAGGTCCAGGAATACTCAGATTAGTGATAAAATACAAGTGCTGTGGATGACTAACACATTAATTACATTACATTAATTAATTAAATGTCCAAATGGTGGTCTTGTGGAGGGACAGAGTGGCACTGGCTCACTGGAACAGCTGTATTTACTGATGTCATAGTGATGGGTTTCAAAAACCAGTAATGGCAATGGGGATCCCAGGAGACTGATTACGACTACTGAACCAAATAAGCAACACAGGATTTCAGTGTTTCATTCAGGGCCTCAGCTTCCAGCTGATTGTGTATTGAATATGTACAGGTTGTGCTCACTGCTCTCTGGTGCTTGAAGACTTTACATGTAATGGAAGCCTCACTGACAACAGAGAGCTATGACAAGACAGAGACTGTGTTGTGAAGGGACAAGCAGAATGTGAGATGTTAGTGTTAAATAACGCTAACTAAAGCAGTGTCCCACTGGCATTTTTAAAAATTAGAAACCAAAACACACAGAAGCAACAGTATTCATTTCAGTCTGTCTGGATTTAGTTAAAAAAGACAATTACTGAATGAATAAGTTTTATTTTCCATGCCACATTAAAATCAAATCACATCACAGAAAAACAAGTAAAGAGGTGTTTTGCATAT